GTTAAATAATAAAATAAAATTATGAAAAAACTTATTGCAATGAATAGTTTTTTTGTGAGATGGTACACATAAAAGCATCATCTTTTTTAGTTTTTATTAACTAGTTATCTAGCCCACGTTTCATCGCGGGTCAAGTTAAAAAAATGCAATGCAAAAAAAGAATAAGCATTCCTTTTCAATGTTTTTGACACATAAAAAAAATCCTAATTGTAAATCAAAAGGTTGATACATGCATATAATTAAATAAATCAAGAATTCATTGTGTCAATAAATGCAAAAAAATAAAAAAATAATAGTAATTAAAAGCTAAATTGAAAATTTTAAAAATAGATTTAGATCAAGATATTTAATCTTGCAATATGAGTTATGAACTTGGTTTTTTTAGTAAATTTTTTTCATAGAATTATTTTTTATTTAATCAAATGATAATGAAAATAAATATGTATATTAAAGTAATTGAATAATTAAAAAAAATATATTATGCAACGTTAAATAAAACAAATACCTGCTAATATTATAGAACGAATGTTATCATCTTATGTGAAAACCAAGGAAAAATTAAACGATATCTAACCAAATACTAAATAGTAAAATTGATAGATAGATATGGATATGGATATATAGTTTTGAAACAGGATCTATAGACCCAATTATATTTAATAATTTTATTAATTGGAATCAATTTTTTTAATAAAATAATATTAAAAAAGGATATGCTTATGAAAGCGAATAAATAAAATTAAAGGAGAAAATAGTATACAAGGTTGCAAAGAACACCTACCAATTAATATTAAAAAAGAATATTATAATTTTATTCATAAACTAAATAAAAATTAAACAATATTATATTAAAACACCATAAAAAATATTTAATTAGTATTTTATACAATGTCAAATCCGCATGGCTAGCTCTTTGTTTTCCCAAAAAGATAGATGACATGTCTGATCATTTGTTTTGAAAAAAACATAAAATTATATGACACATCATTTTTGTCTGTCTAAAATTTGACCACCATAATGATAACTAGAAAATTAAAAGAATTTTTTTTAATCTTAAAACCCTAGTTTTTTCAATCCATTTTCACCTGATAAAACTCATACAACATAAAAAAACTAATTAATCAACCTAAAAAATCCCCAAAACGGTCCAAAAGCACAATACGAAACTAGTAAAAAAATTTCTCTCTCGACCCGATCTATTTTTTTAGGCAAGATAAAGGTTCAAAAACACTTTGATGAAAATGAAACATGCTAACCCATAAATCAATATTTTTTTTATTGTTATAATGTGACCAACCAACAATTTTCTTTTTCTTTCTCTATAATTCATTGAATTTCTCTCTCTTCTTTTATATTCATGGATTAAAAATAAATAAAATGAATTTTTATACCAAAACTAAAATTCCACAAATTATAGTGACTGAAATAGATGGACTATAAAGTATTTTTTTCATGTGAATTGAGATTAACATTAAGATTTCTCTTGTTTTACACCTTTGTCTTTATTTTCTGGATTTTTTTTTTTATAAATTTTTAGAATTTAATCATTGATTACAAAAAGTTGCAATTAAAAAATTAAAGGATGAAACTAAAAAAAAATATATGATACTGTAAATTATTATAGTATTTTATCTAGTTGTTTTAGTATATTATGTAATATTGACTAAAATTACATTATTTATTATATAAGACTTTCCAACTTCAAATATTCGATGAGAATCATCTTTATTTATAATGATTATAAATTACATTACATATTATAAATTGTGTAATCGACTAGGTATTTACCTTTTACTTGCACTTATAATTTATTAATATATATATATAGCCAAATAGTAATGTCCCATTAGTCCGCAGTACAATGATGCGTTGCAAGAGCAACTCCACTCTGAAGGAGAAGATCATCATGTTTACAGTCCTAAATCCTATGGTCTGACATGCTGTACGAGTAAATTGATGTACCTTTGTTTTCCCAATA